CCCTGCCATGCGCTGGCCTCAAATGACTCCACATTTAGCATGTAATCTATGTTCATTGCTCCCAAACGACAAGGCAACTATAATCATGGCCAGGATGGATCCCCTTGATGTCAAGTGCGGCTTCATCTGCACACAACGTAGCGATTTAGGGAAAACACAAAGCAGATGGATACTTGACGCTGCCTTATTCCAAAGCCTGCACGGACGCTAACCTTTTTTTTTTTTTTTTTTTTTTTTTTTTTTTTTTTTGTCTGCGTGTGTGTGTTTTTTATTGTATTTATAAGGTATGGTATGAATGGGTGTGAAATGCCCAAATTCAACTTTTAATTCTCTTTGAAGGACCCAGGATGGTTTCCTCGTTTGCATCCGATATTCCGCTTTCCACTGGAACTCCCTTGCTACATTACGCTTCATGACATTCTTAAATGAGATCCAATAAAAGAGTTGTATCCAAAATGTTATACGGTGGTATCCTGAGAGCTGCTCATCCTTTTTTTTTGAGCCTTCCCAGCTGCCAACTCCAACCACAATTTGAAGTAAATTGCTAAATAAATACTCCCGCGGTGCCAATCAAAAGTCGCCGTTATTATCTTGGCAGGGCCACATTTTTGATAGCGCTGTTCTATTGGACCTCATTCGATACCCAACAAAATGACCAGTGTATGTATTCTAGCTGGGACAATCAGATGCTGTTTTTTTTAATTTAAATTTTTTTATTCCCTTGCACTACAACATATTTGTGCCTACACGTCTGTTATTTAGCGACTTAAATCCCCAAATTTGCGAGCATTTTAGTCCTGAAATTGCAGCTATGTCAATCATATGAAGAATCAAGCACTCGACCAAACTGTATTTTTTTTTTTGGTACGTTCTGTGTATATAACACGTTTCATTGCCTCTATAAAAGTGTAAAAACCACTGGTACTGTTACACGAATATTCATCACTCTAACCACAAGGGCTATACACTACCGCTGTTACAAGGTCGCCTCTTCTGTTATACTGATTTGATTTTTTGTTTTGTTTTGTTCTTTCTCTCCGACATTGTTGAAAACAATGCCGCTGAAGCTCTTAACTCTAATGCAGGGGTTGGGAACTCCGGTTCCTCGAGAGCCTGTTTTAGGTCCCCCCTCCCTACTCCAACACACCTGATTCAGTTGTTGATGATCACTTCAGGCCTCGACGGAGCTTGCTGATGAGCTGATCATTTGAATCGGGTGTGTTGAACTAGAGGGAGCTCGAAAACAGGCAGGATATGGCTCTCAAGGTACCGGAGTTCCCCACCCTTCCTCTAATCAATGATTTGGCACATGAATGTGTTCATTCCGCGACTCGTCATTATATATGTGTGTGTATGTGATAAGTCATGGAATTTGAAACGGATTTATTTAATGCTGGAAGAAGGTCACGTTTATCTTGTTCATAATAAATCTGCTATTTAACATTCATTTGGAGTGAAATGGATCACATTTTTTGGAGCTCGAGGGCACCTCAAGGGTCTCGTATGGAAACCAAAGAAAAAAGTGAAATGAGAGTGATCAAATTTGCATCGAGCACTTGAGATATTTTTGGGCCCCTGTGAGCACTTCCTCCTTTTTCATATGAACAATGTCTTGTTCTTTCAGAATAGTACAGTCCTACTCGAGGCCAGCTGGGCCCTCCGTCTTGGAATGGATGAGACCGACATGCAAAACAACTGAGTGAGTGGCCTTCTCCTTTTTTGATGTTGTACTGGAGACACGATATTTAGTCAATGACTAGTCATGCGCTGCCACTGCATACAAAGGCCACCACAATAACATATGATTGATGTGTGGACTTTCAACTTTATTTCAAGACGTTTCACAAAAATCTGCCATGCAAGTATGACAACCGCTTGATGGAAAGTACCGTTTTCGGGGCGCAGGCTCAGCTCCGGTGACGATTGCAGTCTTTCAAAAGTAATGGGCCGAAACCCCCCCCCCCCCCCCTGATGTCGCTAGCCTCACCCGCTTAGCTTTTGATCTCGTGCGACGAGGCCGAATATTGGTGGACTGAAAATGACATCACAGTTGCTCAGGTAATGAGCGATCTTGGCTCACCTCCTTTCTGCGTTTGGTGACGTGAAGTTCACAAGCTGAGCCGTGATTGGGCATTTCCTTGATTTTAAAAAAAAAAATGTGGATTTTGCTGCCTAATTCATATTCCTCAAACTCAATCAGAATGCTGTGTTCGGACTCATGGGACCGCTGAGAATTTATTGTCAAGAAAATGTTTGCCTTGACATCCCTTTTATCCAGGTATCGGTGTACAGTGTTCCTCTGTACTTGGAGCTTATTTTTGGCAGATGAGTGACTACATGAGGTTATCCAAGGCCTCCGTTTCTCTTGTTTTAACTTTATCTTGGACCGGTCTTAACACTTGACTTCAACCTTTCTGTGTGGAGTTTCCGGTTTCTCCGGTTTCGCCCAAAACCAAAAAAACATCTGTCGGTTTCCAGTCAAGTCCAGTGACCACACCACGGACACAAGATCGGGATTCGATGCCCGGGATTCGACACGGTCGCTCCCCACCCGCCGCTCCTGTGGGAAGCGTTAAATGCAGAGGACAAATTTACTGCATCGACAATGAAGAGGCGCCTTGGTGAATGTTAATGGAGGGTTTACAACAAAGTGCAAACCGCCGGTAACATTGAAAAACAGGAAAGCCAGGTTGGACTGCCAGGAAAGATCAAAGAAATGCGCAATCAGATAGTTTGGACGCGAGAAAACCCAGATCAGCTTGGATCAAAAATGATGGAGAGGGAACAGATCCAAGGCATACCACATCATCCAGCCCAGCCAGTTTAATGGCACGGGCGTTGTATCTGGCTGCTAATGGTGAGCCTTACTGCCTCCCCAGGTTTCAACGGAATCCAATAAAACTGATAGGCCGGATTTATCGTGAGCCTCAAGGCAAAGAAAATGGAGGGCGGGCGTCCTCGCTTTACGCCGGCGCCGACATGCAACGTTTCATAGATGGGAGCGGCGCCTTGAACTAGTTCGCGTATCTTGAGTTTGAATGTCATCACGCGTACAAGAAAGCTCATCCGTTTCATGATTGTCCCAATCAGCGGTCTGGTGGCAACCCAATAGAGGATGTTTTACATTTACTGAAGTCAAGACCAAAGTGAGGCGGGTCGAATGCTTGACAAGACATTACAATCTCAAACTATCTTCATTAGTTTGAGGCGAACTCCTTTTCGCACAATGGACCGCTCCGTTTCACTGCACGTGTGCAGACTTGATTCAGAAAGATGATGGCCAAATAAAGTTGCTGGCGCGGTTTGCAGGTGGGAAGGAAAGTTAGGTGGAGCGAGAAAAAAAAAAAGAGGTTGAGAAGAGGCAAAACCATTTAAAATCAATTTAAGCTTTTCAACCTTTTGTGAGTTACCGACAGCGACACGAGCAATACGCAATGTTTCTTAGGGTCGGGCCACGAGAATGCTTTGAAGAAGAAGCGGGGGAGTGATGAGAATGAGGCTTTGCATCACCAAGACGTGAGTTTTAAAGCCGTCGAAATGGCGGACTGAATCCTGATTCGTGTTCTTATCGGTTGACTGTAAAAGTGTTGAGTCACTTGTCGATAACCGCCCTCGAGGAGTTTAAAGATTTGACGTCGCACGGGAAATGGGAGATTGACGAGAATGATCTAAAATTCGCACTTTTCAGTTGGGTAAAGGACATTCCTAATACAACTCTTTGGCTATAAATATTCACGGGCAAAGGGGGAGCACATAAAAGTCGTTATGTAACTTGTAACTTCAGATGTCTTGTCATTTGAACAGATTTCAAAAGACCAAGAGTTGAGGTTGCAATAAAACATTTGTCAACACGCAACACTGGTGTTGAGGGCCTCGACGCTTTGGCCCCCAAAAAAACTGAAATGTTCCATATAAAATAGCTTTTTAAATGGTCACGTATCCTAATTGAAAGCTCAAACTCCACAACCTTCAATCCCAAATTAATTTTTGCTGTATTTCAAGTCTGTCACGGTGGTCTATCAAGACCAAAAGAGAGGAAAAAAAAAAAAAAACTCATGACAACTCTGTCATTGTCCAAATACTAATTGGTACCCTGCTTGGCTGCACTTAATGCTTGTGAAGTTGCTCTGAAATGACACCGTCGTGCACCGCGCAGACGTCGCATGCGCTGGACTCAGCCGCTTTTCAAAGTGCACTGTGTAATTGTAGTATTAAGGGGCCTTTTTGATGTGCGACTATAATTGGGAGGCATCAGAAAGCGCAGTGGAAGAAGGGCTCCCTGATGAGGCTTTTACCGTGTAACCCCCCCCCCCCCCCCCCCTTCTTGTCCAGACGGCTCCGGGCTCCCTCTGTAATTACCGAGATGGAGTGTTTGTATTTATAGGCTAAAGCCCGCAAGTGGCTACAGCTTGTGTGTGTGTGTGCGTGTGCGCCTTTTGCAGCTGCAAAACATCACAGCGGTGGAAATCAAGTGCTCATATTTTAAAATTAAAGTGCTTACACAATGGCAACGTGTATAACCCACTTTGGTGCCGCTGCCCGTGATGCCTTGCAGGTCCATCCGAAACTATTTGGAGTGAAAAAAAAAGGCAAAACCAACGAGAGGATGTTTGGTTTCAATGTTTTTTTTTTAATATTTACAATAAATACACACTTGACAGTATAAAATCCATGTACATATTTATATAACTTTAAGTAGAAAATAATGCACAGGATGTCCAGCCCTGATAGTGTACAGAAGGGGCTGGATTCAAGAGGGGGAGGGGGGGGAAAAAACAAAAACAGCATGGGGGGGACAGCTGCTCAATTTATCCTTGGAGGCAGTTTTCTTTGGAGAAAAACATTGTCTATACACTCTGTGTGCATTTCACTCTTGTCAACATGATTGTCTTCTAAGTGGTGGTCGTTGTCACCATGAGTTATTTTGTTTAAACAGTAGCAGAGTCATCGAAAGGCACTTTTGTGTCAAAGACATTACAGTTTTAAGTATACGCTGTACAAGGGCCAGCCCCTTTACTGGTCTGTTCTTATAGAACCAAAGTAGTACCAGCTACATGATCGGAAAATATTTAGATAGATTAAAGGAGGTGGGGGGACTTTGGTCACGTGGAGAACACTTTAAATAAAAAAAAAAACAACAAAAAAAAGAACATCACAATGTCTCTTGTTGTTGTCCGGGCTTTTTTTTTTTTTTTTACATGTGTCTCTTCATGTGCAGCGCGAGGTGGTCAGACCTGGAGAACGCTCGCTCGCACAGGTGACACTGGAAGGGCCTGTGTCCGGTATGTTTCCGGAAGTGTCGCGTCAGCTCGTCCGAGCGGGCGAACTTCCAGCCGCAGCCTTCCCAACTGCAGTGGTACGGCTTCTCACCTGGCGGGATAAGAATGAAAACGTCATTAAACCCGCAAGGTGGGCAACGAAGGGGGGGGGGGGCGGGCGCAGGGTCGGAAAAGGACGAGGTGAGCTTACCCGTATGCGTTCGCAGGTGAGCCTTTAGGTGAGAGCTCTTTGTGTACGTCTTTCCGCATCCGGCGAAGGTGCAGGTGTGCGTGGCGGTGCGCTTGCGCGGCCAAGTGCGGCGCCCGCGCTTGGGCTTGGACTCGAGCAGCTCCAGCGGCGAGGAGGGCGGCGTCAGCATCGCCCTCTGCGCGCCGGGCGGCGGGTGCTGCAAAGCCAAGGCGTCGTCGTAGACCCCGAACGCCGGGTGGTGCGCGCCGTGGTAGGCCATGCGCATGTGTTGCTGCTGCTGCTGCTGGAAGGAGGCGTTGTTGTGGTACTTGTGGCCCGCGAAGCAGCTCATAGGCGGCCCGCACAAGTCCGAAGCCGCCGCCTGCTCGTCCGGGCTGAGCGGCGGCGTCATGCTGCTGCTGGCGGCCCGCGGGGAGATGGCCAAGCGCGGCTGCTCGAAGGGCATCATGCACGAAACGTTGCCCTCCTGCTTGATTTTGCTGCAGCTTTGGGGCACCATGCCCAACACGGGGCCATAACTGTCCATGGGGGGCTCGACTTTGATGTCCTGGCGTGGGAAGTGCGTGGCGTAAAACCTGCCCTGCACCGCTTGCTGAGGGCCGCGCGTCACTCCGTAGCCGGCGTCGGAGCGCAGGAGCTCGGCCACGAGGCTGGCGCCGTACGGGGGCGGGGGAGAGCGATGCTCGCCCGCGGGGAAGCCTCCCGGCGCGGCGGCGGCGGCGTCCGTCGCGGCGTACGCGCCCGCGTCGGCCGGGGCCACGTAGGCCGAGGCTCCGTCGAGTATAAAATCCAGATCCAAGTAGTTGCTCAGATCCTCGTCGTCCTTCTTTGGAAACAGGTTGTCGACGCCGTGCATCATCTCCAGCATGGAGCAGCTGCCGCTGGGAAGCTTGCTGTCGTTTTCTGCTTTCCACTTCTGAAACATCCAAACAAGCCATTCAGACGCTACCGTCGCAATAAATACAGACGAGGCATGCAACGGGACGATTACATTCACTAGAAGACATAACAGCACTGAAGTGCGATACAACTTTACAAAACTTTTTTTTTTTTGGGGGGGGGGGAGTAAATACTCCAATTCAACTTACGTTTTCCCAGCTTTTCTCCCTTTGATTGGTGAATGTGGCGAAAGAAGGAAGCATCACTCCCGATAAAGCCATTTTTTTTTTTTGGTGCGGTCTTGTTGGAAGAACTCAATCCCCAAACGCGGTGCGCGCAGTCCGTGCGCCTCGACTACTGGACTCGATCAAGTGGCAGGCAGGCAGTGGCTCCACCGCCACGCAACAAGTGTTGTTCAGTGCACTGAGTTTCCCCCCTCCGCCGCACTCGGCTCTTTATAAAAGTCCTCTTAGGACGCCCAGGAAATCACGTCGACGTCGCGTAATTTTAGCCCTTTATAAAGCGGGACTTGTCTCGGGCCGCTTCTTGCAGTCGCGCGCGCGCTCTCATCCAGTCGACGGCCTCCGCGTCCGAGCGACCGGGGGGTTCCTTTAAAAGCCAGCGAGGGAGGGAGCGGGGAGGGGGCGGGGGCTGCCTACGCGCGATGACGCACGCGCTCTCCTGGCCACGCCCACTTTTCAGCTGGAAAAAAAGTGTCAAACACACACACACGTACACACACAAGCGGTTCTTATAGCAACCGTAGAGGATTACGTAATTTGGCGCAAAGAAGAAAACAGTGCTGTCAGGACATCGCCGTCGTGATTTATGCACGTTTTTTTTTTTTTTAAAGAAAATGAGAACATTTTTAAAAGCCCACGCACATAACTTAACACGTTTTTAATAAGCTTAGGCGCGCACACAAACATAAGCTCACGTCTGAATGACTTCCCATCCATGAAAAAGTGGATGACTTTACAAACAAAAGAAATACTTGGTGCGAGATGACCACCGGTTTTACGAGATAAAGTCTACACATTTATGCTGGTGATTAGCTCAGCAAAAAGTTCCAACGGGTCACAAGAAAAGTGACAAGAGTCGTAATATTTGATCAAAACCGGACAAGCAGCGACACATCTCATAGTTTGTCCCTACAGGTAAGCTAAATAAGATCTTTATCCCCCCCCCCCTTCCCACAATGGAGATTTTGCATCTTTCTAACAGCAATAACCGAACCAATCATAAACCTGGCGCGCCTGCACGACATGTGTCGCTCACATTTTGTCCCGAGGTGAGGAACCATCAGGAATGGCGGCTTCTCTTCTCAGTCGATGCACGGCCGCAACGTTAAACGTGACTGTCATGCCTCCTATTAATGACTATATTATTGCATCAGCTGCCAGAGCACGAATGCAAGCGGTTTTCGTTGGAGCTCGGCAGGCTTGTCCAAACAGGCGCCAGCGTGCTAAAGAGCAGCCGCGACGTAAATACGATTTGAGGTAACATGCCATTCAGGTGCTAATAAGAGAGGGGAGTGGGCTGCTAATTTACATCACAACAGCACACGAATTGTGCTTTCGAGCGTCTTTTCTCAGCATGATCGATACTTGCAGTTTTGATTGCAGCGGCAGTACGCAGTGGAAGAAACATGAAATGCTGGAATTTGTTCTGCTTGGGTAATATTTTTCGCTTCCAGATGTGGAGTTCTTTTTTTTAACTATGTCACTGAAAGAAATGTGTTATTCGTCAATATAATCCACACAGTTGGGAAATGCATTTTGGAGGGTGGAGTGGGGGGGGGGTGAAGATGGGAACGGGGTTTTTAGTTTTGCACGACGGTGAGAGAAGTGAGCGCTCGGCGTGATGATGTAAGCAAACAGACGGACAGCTCACGCTCGCATCCAGCTGTCATGTTCAGCCATCACTTGTGAGCGTTCCACACCACTTTGTGTGTGTGCGTGTGTGTGCGTGTGTGCGTTCACGTGTTCACTGGAAAGTGTGTCACGCAACGTGGATCCAGTAATGTCAAGTGATGGAAAGCGCCTATGTCGTTTTGTTTTGCATAATAGCGCTCGGAGAAGCAACACGTGGTTCGGGAGCGTGGATGAACTATGAGTCGCAAATCCTTTGAAACGGCCTTAATAATAATAATGACTCATTTTACTCCTTTTGTTAGTCAGTTCGACAGCTGCTCACTTCATAATTGTGTTCATTTCTAGTCAGGTGTTTGGAAAGGTCAAAACACCCAGAAATGTCCGATGAAGAATTTGAATGTCTCTGCTCCCAGGCTCCCCCCCCTAACAAGTGTGACCTGAAATAGTTTGGGAGTTGGCGCAACGCACAAAGTATTCAGACCAGGATAAGCACACTTTCAAATACATTTTTGTGACTGGCCAATAGTTGCGGGGGAGTTTTTCCAACTAATATTTTGTGTTTTTTAATGTTGCATTTTTTTTCAATCGCTTTTGTATTTGTCATCTAGTATTTCTGTTCTTGTGCTTAAAAAAATGTATTTTCAAAAAAAAAAAATCCTTAATATATTTTTTTCCTCCCAAATATTTGTGTTTTATTTTTATATTTGTATGTTTTTTTCCTAATGTGCTTTAAAGTTTCCCTAATATATATTTTTTAAAAAAAAACAAATATTTCTGCTAAATTTGCATTTTTCTTCTAATAATTTTTTGAACTTTCTGCTATTATTCTCTATTTTCAAATATCCTCCTATTTTTACAGTTTTGTGGAGTTTTTTTTTCCCCTAATATTGTCTCAATTGTGTATTTTTGCATTTATTTTAGATAATTTTTCGAATATTTTGGGCAGTCATTTTTTTGTTTGCAGTGGGCAAGGATACAAAACAATTGGACCTGTCATTCATATTTCTTTTGGCAATATCATGATAACATTAATAGGCGTCGCCATTTTGCTCAGTGAAATGACGATGATGTGAATATTTTTAGGGGGTTTCTTCTCCAATGGGATCTTAACGATGTACAGTACAGTACACAGTCGTCGTTTTTAAGAGAAAAAAAAAACAGGTTTAATGTTGGCAAAGTCGACAAAGTGGGATTTTCAAGGGTGGGTGTTCAAGAAATTCATTGAATTGATTCCCCCCAGGGTCATTTTCTCCCTCCCATTTTTCTCTTCTTTTGCCCCGGCCGAGAGGCGTAAGGTTAAGAACGAGACAAATAGCTTGTCGGGATTGAGTGTCAAGTTTGACTTCTTGACCCCGATCGACCCTCGCTCTGCAGCCGTTCTGGCAGAAAGCAGAAGCCGTGGCTGCAAAAAGTCAATGAGCAACATTTCTACAGAAGTTATACCAAGAATGTCTTTCCCGAACGCTCTTTTGCACAATCGTCTTGTCGTTGGGCAACCTACGAGTAAGTGTGTGTGTGTGTGTTTTTATTATTTTCAAATCGACTTAATAAATGTGCTTAGGATATCATTTTTTGGGCAAACATTTTTTGTATCTTTCATGTAATGTTTTCTTTATATCTCATGTTTTGTGTTGATATTTTTGTTTCTTTTTTTTCGTGATATTTGTGTGTGCAAGCACATTTGTATTTTGTATTTAGTAGTTTAGTATTTTTTTTTCCTGTGAATTTGTTCTTTTTGTCAATTTTTTTTGTATTTCTCGCCTAATATTTTTCGAATAGATTCTTTTGTGTTTCGCATATTTTATTGTTTTCGAGTAGTTTTATTTGAATTTTTTTTTCCCCTGACAATTTTTTTTTTTTTGGTCTAAAATTTTGTGCGCATACATGTGGATGTGTGCGTGCGTGTATTTTACAATTTCCCAACTGTAAAAGCACGACCTTCGACTTGTCCACGCTATCAACGCTTTGTCACGCGGCTAAGCGAGTCGCGAAGGCGCTGACGGCTCTTCATGTCAGCCGCTCATTTCTTGGAGGTGCGTTGTTTTCTTTGTCCTTCATTTTCCCACGAAGGCTTTTTGTTTTTGTCGGAGGCGTGCTTTCAGGAATTTGGGTGGGGCAGATGGCCACTGCACATGCTCTCTGCTTAAAATTAAACTCATCCGAACAAGTTTTTTTTTTTTTTTGTATGGAACTCAAGTCTCTGACCAAAGTTCCGGGTACTTTTTGTTCTTGTCCAAAAGTATTGGGACACTTGGCCATTGCAGGAGGCGTAAATGAAGGACAAAACTCCTCCAATCATGCCTCGTATGAACCTTTCTTTGTGCCTTCCTCAAACTCTTCTCCACAAATGTCCACTTTTCCACCTAAAGTCCAAGCAACCTTCTACGTAGTCGTTGATGCTTGTTCCAATCATATCCATTGTAGTTCATCCCCAACGTATTTCAAATGGACTCTTCCACACCAAAATGATTCCAAAATTCCTTGAGGACCTTTTATTTGTGCAGTGGGCTTACTGTCACAGATTCAGAAAAAGTTATTTTAGTTGTAGTCACTAAGAGTTTCCGATAAGATATGTGAAACACAGCCCAAGGTTCTTGGACCTCTCAAAGTACTGTTTTGTCTTATTTTAAATTCTGAAGGTGGAGGACCTGAGTCACATGACTTGGATTCGCGTCGCCTTAAGTCGCTAATTTTGTGACTTGCGACTTGCTTGCCAAAGACTCGACTTGACCTTGACTTTACATTCTGGAGACTCGACTTTGACTTCAACTCCATGACTTAACATTTCATTCTGTTTACATTTGAAAAATTAATTTTTAATGATACTATGGATTTTCTCTTTGAAGGAAAAGCTACTAGATTTGGCGTTGTGCATGTAACCAGTCTGGGAACGTCGACCAGCAGTACCCCCCGACCCCCTCAATTTAACATAAGCTACATTGAAAACCTATAGACCACCCAATAAGACACTAAAATACTAAGGCCTCAAGTCTAGCGCCATGTTGAACACCAAGGAATAAAAAAGTGAGCTTTAAGTTAGGTTTAAAAAACGGATAGCTAAGGGGCTCATGCCTCTTATGAACCTTCTTTATGCTCTGAACCTTCCTCCAAACTACTTCCTGCATTGCAATGAAAAGTACCTCTAGATTTACTTACTGGAAGTAAAATGTCGACCCCAAAGGTTCCTCGACCTCTCAAAAATACCCTTTTAAATTGAGTTCAAACTGAATAGCGTGCTGCAGGCTACATGTAAGCACAAACACAAAACATGAGTACGGTACCGATGTATTCCCCGCACAAGTATGCCAGCCGAGTTTTTAGCGCCAGCTGGCGATATGGTGAACGCACAAAGAAAAGTTTTGCAGCCAGATCATGTTGATCAGTTGATACTTTTGAAGAAATAATCTGCGATCACTGAAGAATAGCTGGTTACACTTGATCCTTTGTTAAATATGGTTGCATCAACTAGATCAAATCACTCAATGC